AAAAAAAAACACTCGGTGGGCCACCGTCTTGAAGGGGATCTGACGCCAGTGTTATAGTTCTGGTTTACTTTGAAATGATAAGGCAATGAGGCAAGCTGCCTAGTCAAGTCCAAGAGAGCCGGCCGGGGTCTAGGTAACAGCTGATCGCTCATCTTTCGGGCACCGGAAAGCAGTTCCTGTTGGCCTGCAAGATTAACTACTATGCGGGGAAACTCCCAGGCCGTTACCTTCCCTCAGATGCTCTCCGAAGTAGAGTTTTTTTTCCAAAAGTTCAGGTGAGAGATGAAGGTGCCTTGGTTCCAAAAGAGTTTCTTCCCCCACCCCCTCCCTTCTTCTTCCCCCCACAGTTTCAAAATTTTCGGAGATACACAAATTTTTTTGGACGGCTTGATTTTGGGAGATGATCTGCCGCAGATAGCAGTTCGGAAGATTTCCGGAGATGGTCTGCTGCAGATAGCGATTTAGGAAAAGAAGCTGGGACCCCCGGTATTTTTGCCTATCTGATTTTCGGCCCTGAGATTCTTCCAACAGGTCCCACTACCACAGGATTTTCCAGTTCAGACATCCTCCTTACAAGGACCGTATGCAGCTGAACTGCAGCTGGATTAAACGCAGGGTAGTGCATGAGCTCTATATGGGCTACACTGTTTCCCTGGTCACAAGGATGTAGAATAACCCCTACGGTAACTAGCATTTTGCCCATACCTGTGAAAGGAATTTCGTTGTAGGACCATGTTCAGCAGATTCGGCAAATTCCGTCCACGGTAATCGTTCTCTAGTACAAAAAGCAAAAGGCATCACTAGAACAAACCAGACTTTGCTAACGCTTTGAACCTTCATTGAGGAACTACTTACTCCATGTCTCTTGTAAGCAGACAATATTGGCCCCCGCCAGAGCTGCTGCTTCAATCATTGCGCCAACCTTGGCGTGTAGCGCTTTTTTCTGCTCGTCTACGGGCGCTGTTGTTGGCGACGCAATGGAATTTTGGATGACAGCGACACGAACCTGAAACACGAAGAAGGACAGGCAAAAAATGTGTGTTTGAAATTCATTTCGGTTGGATTCATTTGAAGTCGAGCGTTCGTATTTCATTGTAAAAGCTATCAACGAGCCGAACGAGTGCCGCTTTCAGAAACCGTCCCTGGAAAACTTAGGGAATTGAGCGTTTTGGGGGATATTTACAGATCGTTACTGCTACCGATATGTACCAAGCCTACATACCTACCATTCCTTGAGGTTAGGACTTGGTTACTACTTCGAAATCTCAGAGCCCCCAGGGAGCATCTCACCCACTCTTACGCAACTCTCAAAAGTCGTCAAAGATCCACCGGAGGGTTCTCTTGAGGGAGGGTTTAGCTACTGCCAGATGAGGGAACTTCTGGACTCATACATATCCATCAAAAGTCGGCAAAGATCCAACGGGTGTGGAGCAATAACTTGTTCCTAGGGCTTTCAGGTATGACCATTTTGACAACTCCCGATGGACCACCCCTACAAGCCCGGTAACTCGATTTATTTACGACTGAATTGTTTCAGACTCTTGGAACTTGAAAAGCGGTTAGGAATCTCCTAGACGATGGTTCAGGTAGGCCAACCTTCCTAGGAGGTCGAAGTTGTTCCGATTGAGCTGTAACTTCGTATGCTTGTAATTCGAAGTTCCCATCGTTTGCCCGAACTTTCGCCTCTTCAGGAATCGGCAGCTCTCTGAACATTTTCAGTCTGTAGGTTTAAGTAAAAAGACGATGACACTAAAAAAACCTACGGATACGCCCTTCCATAGAGAATACGGCGTACTTCGTCGTAATCTTTGCCTTGAAGAGACTTTTTCAA